TAAAGCTGAGCCCACAAACCGTGATTACCTGAGCTTTGATATATCTGCGGATCTCCCTGTGGTGTCTGGATCCTTCAGTCAAAAGGCTGAGTACTGGAGTCAAACCCTCTTTGTAATTGGACCCCTGCTTGGAGTGACAGACCACAAAAACTTCACTGTCTCCACAAACTCAGGGGCTGGATAGATATCCTTAGCACACAAGCAAGCAGCTAATAGAAATAAGATGACGGAGACACTGAATAACAGAGGAGAACCTGAGGGACATGACCTTTATTCAGGCTTTCTTCTCCTTCTAATCATAAATAAAAACAAAAACATCCGGGTGGAGTTAGAACACATTTATGGATGCTAAACCGTTATTCTCGCGTCATTGCGACAGAAGTTGAATTTTACCTTGTCGATTCTTTTCTCCATGAAGTCCAGCAACACCTCGATCGCGTCCATGTTTTTTCCGGCATATTTCTCCTGCCCTCCCTGCACGGGGACGTCAATTAAAACATCCAGATAGGACACGGGCAGGTTGTTCAGCAGGTTCACGGCATGGCTGCAAACAGTTAAAAACATTATATTTTTTTTAATTATCCAGAGGTTTTAGGGTATTTGGACAATAAAATCAAAATACAAAAAGGTTACAACACTTTTGAAAAGACATACCAGGTTTTGCTCAGGATATTTACCACAAATCACAGGTGCAAAGCACAGAAAAAAAGTGATACGTTTTCTTGTTACTCATTGGCTGTATTAAATAACATCATGAGAATAAAAAGCTAATGATAGAGTCAAGCACGCTCGCAAACAGTCACATCTGGGACAGGTCAATGTAGTTCACTACCAAAGGAATATGTCAGAGTTCGGGAGCATTAAGACGACATGCTCAGCAGAAACCATGAAAATATGTGAGTGCACCCACACTAATCCCCACCAATGAAATCATCACAGTCTAATGATATATAAGTGAAATGCAAAGTAATGCAATAGTTCAACCTTTCCTATCATTTGGTACTTTCTGAAGTTCTTTCTCCTTAAACGTGTGAATCTTATGTCACGACTTTCAAATTAGGCTTAAACATTTCCTTTTTGACAAAGCTTCTAGTGAGGGCTGGTCCAGATGAGTATGAACCCTCCGCTCATTAAACGGGAATAGACCTAGGCAGCCGGAAGCTTCCCATGATGCATTTCATCTTCTCACACCTCTTTGCACTCTGTTTACACACCACTCTGCATTTAATCGTTAGTTATTATATCTCGCTCTCTTCCACAGTCTGTTTTTTGTCCTCTCTTCGTCTCTTCACACCCAACCGGTCACAGCTGATGCCCGCCCCTCCCTGAGGGAGTTTTTTCGTCCCACTGTCACCAAGTGATTGGGGTATTCTCTCTACTATTGTGGCATCTTTACCTTACAATATAGAGCAGCTGTTGTGATTTGGCACAATATAAATAAAGTTGAATTGAATTGAATTGGAGTAAACTGTCTTTGCCAATTTGTTGAAACTGAATATTGTTCAGTGCATCAGGAGCAAGCGATTGGCGAGATTGTAAGTCGTCTCCAGAAAGGTTATGCTGGTAAAATGGAACAGCAAAAATGATAATTTGGTTGAAGCATCATTTAGTGATCTTTGTATGCGAGTTTCACTCAAATCTGACCTATACCAAGGAGGAACAGCAATAGACAAATAAAGGAGTTTTTTCCTGTTTGTTTTCTGATACGTTTGTGCTTTCTTCGCATTTGTTGTTATTAATGCTTTCCAGTTTGAGACCAGAAGGAGAGAAAAATCACTAGGAGCTCAAAAAGAGCACATGGCATAAAAATATGACAAATCATGTCTCTGTCATGTCAGTGGTATGTTTGCATTTTAACATCTATACCTCCTAAACTGCAGATTCACCAGAGATCATCTAAAATACTTTATTTTTCTCAAGTTAGCGATACTTACAATTACTGGTACCCAAAGAGATAAAAGTAGGGATAAAAGAAAAAAAATAGTAAGAGTAGTTCTGGAAATGAGGTGATCCTTGAGCCGGTCAGTTTAAAAAGACAACAGTTTTATGGCGTAACCAGGGAGCACAGATGTAGGAATTACTGAGTCTGATACCAGAAGTCCGTCACAACACTCTACATTTGAAAATATTTATGTGTTAGTCTGACGATCATCCGACTAACAAACTTTAAAACGCCTGCCAGCTTGGCTTAAAACTAACTCTCTCCTTCGTCCTCCCCTTTTCTATTCAAATTAGCTCTGTGTTACACTGCATTCAAATTACAGCTGGGTCGGTCAATGGGTCAAGCTCCCACGACTGATTCAGCCACCAATCTGACAGGTCAAGAGGATCATCACTCACTTTTACATGACACTGTTTAAATTTCAGGCTAAGACCACACATTCTTGGCATTCTTGCGTGAAATTACCATGAGAAACACTGCTGTCGCACAATGACAGAAAAAAGCTCATAGATAATATAAAATACAACTACACAGCACTTTGCTATCGACACAAGCAAATCTCACAAGGTGATTTTCCTACACAGACACGGCGATGCAGTCTGCTTTTCTATGTAAATCACTTTCAAGTCATGTCTGAGGCTATAACTCATTCACACATGAAAGCTACAGGACACGGATACACAAAGGGACTGAGCCTCTTTGTGTTTAAGAGGTCCAAACATGTATATTAGTTTAAATAAAATACGAAGGTGCAGTCCGCTACAATAAATTATTAACATATGAAAATCAGCGAGGAACAGATTCCCACCTGTGTGCTTCCTCCGTTTTCTCCTCGGTCTCGGTCTTCAGCATCAGGAGATGACGCAGGATGGCAGCAATGAGCCGGAGCTGGTGATCGTCTTCCTGTCGAGCCGAGCACACACAAAAACACCGAGTCCAACCAGGGGTTTTGTTTATGCACAGCAAAGCAGTACGGTAAAAATACCTACGCTACAAGGGCATGAGGCGGAAGCAAAGGCTAAAACCTTCAGTTAATCAATCATCCATGCAAGTACGCATCAGTGGCGCGGAATAAAGTGGCTATTCTATTTGTATTCTAACATTAAAGTAGCTACTGCTATAACTATCGGGATATGCTGTCATTGTGTAACTGAGTAGGAATAAAATAAAAAGGCATGAAAGGGTCACTATCTGTGTCATTTTCATTTGTTTCTCCCTCCTATCAGCACCATCTACCATTTAGCTCCCGCAAGTTTCTTCCTTATTTCCTTAATTAACTTTTATTCACGTCACTAATTAATCAACTAAGTGACAAATTAGGGAGGGCAGTTAAAAGTGCCTAAATATAAATATCAGGATTGACACCAATACATCTAGAAAATAAGTAAGAAATTGCTGTGTTGGTACTTTTGCTGATGATATTTTGAATATGAGAATGGGGCGATTCTCAGCTCGGCGCAGAGCTGCAAATATCTAGGCTGAAAGTAAAAAACTAGTTTAACAACAAAAAGTAACCTGAGAACTCAGGAGTACACGAGGAGGAGTTACTGGTCTAATAGTGACAGGAGCAGAGAGGCTGTGGTGAGACTGAGGAAGAGGAAGTTTGGATTTCTAAGAGGAGAGCAGGGCCAAATGGGAATCTTAAAACTAAACGTAGCATCAGCAGGACTTACACTGCCTCAGGTGCTGCCTTTGCAGTCGCGTTTCTCCTTTGAAATGCCTCCTCAGACAAGACGATCAAGTTTGACAGTGAATCAGATGCAAAAATTATCATACAATAAGTATATCATGAATGAAAAGCATGTGTACCAAGTATCATCCTTTTTTCAAGTCAAGTTCATACTGAGTGGCCTGTGTGTGTGTGTGTGGGTGGAAAGACTTACTGACTTTGTAATAAAGGAGCAATGAGCCTAACTTCAGCGGAATATTTTTGACACTGGCTGATGTGAATTACACGACACACTTCCTGTTATAAATCTAATATTTCAGCGATGGATGTTGATGTGAAACATGGTGAAGGTTCCATGATAATGTCAGTAACGCAAGTAATCCCAGTAAACCCGGCTCAGACTTCACACTGGTCTAAACACAGCAGGACAAATGTTCCTTAATGATGGTCAAAGTGGCAACGGTGGCGGTGGTTTACGACACCAACTCTCTGCCATCTATAATCCAGTTTTGAGATCCCTTCCCAGACGCCTTAACGCCCACTCACACCCTGGGCCATCTGACCTCAGGAATTCGCATGATAAGGTGGGGCCAGGTTTCAAATGAACTCACCCGAAACTCTGGCTGATTGGGACCCACACCCAGTTCCACACCTTGGCTCAGGAGATTAGAGGATCATCAGGGGGTCCTTTTGTTCCTCTGTGGGGGGACACTCCCACTAGGGTTATATCTGGGACTCTCCACCATTTGACCTTAGAACTGAAGAAGCCTCTCGGATGAGAGGTGAAACATCTTCAAGTAACTTAAAGAAGTCCAGACGCTTTTCTTTGCAAGCTCCTTTGACTACGATGACCTGGATGACTGAGAACCTTCACAGTCAAAGTGGCAACCTCAAACTTTTTCTGATATGCTTCACTTTTAAAGCCAATAAGATTTTTATCAGGTGTTAACATCTTTAATATATAATATTATTCCAGCTGAATTTTATTTGAAGGTCAGGGCAAAATCATCAGAAAACATATTGACTGAACTCAGCTTAACATTGCTGTGCAATTTTAGAACTATGGCCTTTAAAAGCCGTTTTAGACTTCTGCAGGTAACTTTTAATGTTATAGTTTCGTAGTCTCCTTACAGGAATCTGCTAACCTTTGTGAGTAATTATATTTATGCTATGATCACTGAGAGGAAGAGCCACTTCCTGAGAACCAGCAGTTCACGACAGATGCAATTTGGCTGCTCTTGGGAACAGCATATACGATCTTTGTAGTTCAGATTAAGACTATAGTGCAATTAGTCACAAACAATTAGCACCGAGTGAGCCTTTACTGTAACATTGTTTTGTATAACCACCGCATACTCACCTCACCACCAGTTTCAGACAGTGTGAGGTTGAACATGGCTTTGAGTGCTTCCATCGCTCGCTCGTTATTCTCTGCAGGCATGGGCACGGCTTGCGGATCTGGACGGGCAGCTTCATACGGACCAACCCAGCGCACATCCAGCGTGTGCTCCAACACCTCTGTCAGCAGTCTAACAGCATGCCACTCTCTCCTCAAAAGCCCCCTCACGGCAGGTTGGAGGGCAGACAGCAGGAAGAGAAGGCGCAGTGTGAACAGGCCCACCTCATGGGACCACGTACGGGCCGTGGCCAGGCTGGCACACAGACCACGAACCAGCTGCACATCCACGCAGACCTGCTGAGCCGCAGGGCTGTTATATACAACGTTGCAAAGGCACTTAAGGGCCTCCACCACCACCCTCTTGTTCTCCTCTGACAGTGTCTGTTCCTGAGAGCTTTTCTTGTCAGCATCCTGTTCCTCTCCAGCCTGCAGCTTCGCCATCCCTGCCAGGGTCAACATGCCTTCCTTGGTGGCTACAGGAGCCAGGACACGCTTATCTCTGGACAGGATGCGGAGGGTCTCCAAGCATGTCTTCTGACAGCTGGGCTGCACCTGTCTCCCCAGGACTGTGAGCACACCGTGGCACAGCTTCTGTAGGGACGCACAGAGACACACACACCGTCACTATCACACATTTCATGTAATAAGAAGCTTCTGGGCTAGATGGTACTCACACTCCGCAGGGTTTCCTCCTTTGGGTCAAAAGTGAAGGTTTGGGTGTTCTGCAACAGAAAGGATGCTCAGTGTCAACAGCAAACAAGATCGACTCGTGTCAAGCGTGCACTATCACATATTAGAAGCCATGAAACGGATTTAAAGTTGGAAACATCAGAGAAACATGCAAAGTTTTCACGGATGATGCATGATTAGCAGGCATGATTAGCATTTTTAGCTCTACTCTCGGCGCTGTAAATAAGGCCACATTGCATACTTTTGCTTCGCTCAATGTGTGTGTGCTTTTTTCTCTGATAATGCCACACCAGGTTTCATTTGACAGAGCCAAACATTTCGGCTCAGCAGCCCAGAAAGATGTTCATGTCACCCAGAGCTAGCTGTCTGGCTAGGTGGCTAGCTAACGTTAGCACGGGCGTTTGTTTTGGTTGAAGAAAAACAAGCAAACGCGCGACTCACCTCTACATTATACTGCTGCAAGAGCTTCTCGATGTCCTCTTCGCTGGCAGTTTCAAGCTGAGATAAAATATTATTCAGATCCATGGGGGCTACCTGAAAAGCTCGGAGAGTTACCGGTGAGTGATGTGCAGCCACAGCTACAGCTAGCTGGATGACAGGCTAACTTGTTTCAGGGCTGCTACTGTCAACAGGGAAACTCCCCTGACTGCCTCCATCAGCTGCAGCAGGGACCTGCTCCCACTTTATCTATTCACATATTCCAGTAAACAGTCCGATGATGGCAAAATGTGTCATAGGAAGAGCCGCAGTTTATCTGGCAGGATACATGACGTGTATTCTGCGTATAAA